ATATAAAACACATTTAAATTCAAACACAGCTTCTTTTGTTGATTTATTTGACATTTAACATCGATGAAAAGTGCGCACGCATTGACTATACAGGACAAAAATTGCAAATACTTTAAATATATAAATTATATCATACGTAAATAAAACAACAAATGCTTTAAAACTAAAACTTTCTAGAGTAGTAATTAAAATATTTCATGGATGATAACACCTATTTACTTATAATTATTTAAATATCAAAATGAAATAATTGAAAGCTATTAGTAGTTGAAGCAATTAAAGACGGATCGAACAGCTGTCTGAAATAGTATTAGTTAAATGAGAAATAGGATTCCATGTTGGCTGATTGATTTTAACGAAAATAGGATAATTTTGCGGAACTCACTAAAAGAATTAACATAATAAAGTCAACTTTTGAATATTTTTTGCGACCATTGATCTTAAAAAATATGATCCGACTACTATTTGATGCATCGAATACAACACTAACGTTGAACGTTAATCAAGTTCTTTTTTTTCTTTTCTTTTTTAAAAAATAGAATGCGTTCACGTGCACCCTCTTCTTGCTCAAAATAAATAAATAAACTGATTGAATGTTGAACCATCATATCAGTATCTCGAACCATGCTATCGTGAATAGTTACTGCAGTCTTATTGAGTTAATAAATTAACATGTGTTTCCACACAGGAAAAAAAAAAATTCGAATCAAATTACGGTATTAAGTACCGGCACTTTGGGTCCATTAACCGTAAAATTCGTTTACAATAAATCAATTTTTATGGTAAAATATTAAGCCGCAATTTTCACAGTAATATTTATTTAATTAGAGTGGTTCAGTAATTTTAAGTAAATTATTACAGTAAAAGGTGCGGCATATCAGATTTCTTTGCTCTGCAACATGCTCCGGTAAAAATGGATTTCACGGTAAGAAGTGCAAAAGTACCCGAGGGCCGGAATTTTTTATCGTAGTTAGAAGCTGAATTTGTTACAGTGCAGTTATAATTAACCACAGTATCATGCGGGCAAGTTTATAAAATAATGATCTGATTGATAATATGGTTCAACTTAAAGTTACATAGAGGTTAAGGCGAACTTGTACGATATCTTTCAAATACGCGCTTTAAAGTTTCTAACAGTGTAATTTTTCAGAGATGAGACGTATATCAGAGTATTAGAAGTTTTGGAACTTTTTTAAGCATATTATGGTACAAATTTATTGCAATCTTAATGCAATGTTTAGTTAAAACATAAAATTATAAAAATCTATCTTTCTTGAGCTTGATTACAAATTCAACTTAAATGGAAAAATAGTACTTATTAGTGTTGCAGTTAATTTTTACAGTAATGTGGTTTGAGGTATAAATATTATGGTTCATTATTGAATAGATTTTTTCAAAAACGTGAGGAAAATTTTGAACAAGTTTATTGTTTTAGTTAACCATTAACATTTTTAATATATTGGATGGGACGAATTAATGAATAATATTTCAGAATGTTTTTCACCAACAGAGCTGCGTGATTAGTATTTTTGAAGAAACAATTTGAATAATGTTATTAGTTTTATTTTTGAAAATTAAAAATCTGCGTCGATTTGCATTGAAATTGATGAAAAATAGGTTTTGAATGTCTGTAAATTGTTTTAAGAATAATTAAAAAAATATTTTTCAAAAGTCTAAAAACGAATAGAAAGCTATTTTTTAAAAAATCTAAGAACGATCTCTTATATATTAATTAACAGATCGAATAAGTCACTTTATCTAAAATGTTAATTGCATTATCGTTACTTAATTTACTGATTTCTGAGAGCAATTTTACTAAAAATAGGGTAGATTTTTTTCAAACAACAAAAAAGTTGTTGCGCAAGTTTTTATTTATTAGGATTTATTTGTTAAAAGCAAGATAGTCCTATCTACCACAATACCTTAATAATATGAATATTTATATTAAGATAAGTCAAATCATATTTCTTTTAGCTCAAGGGATAGGTGCACAGAAGAATGTATACACTTCATGTCCCGAGAAAAAAAAATATGGTCAAAATTACTAGAATATGGTAAAACTTATCGTGTTTCTGGCTCAATGGGAACACCTTGAGGCTCGTTTTTCTTTTATTTTCTTATTTTTTATTTTATTTAACTGAAGCACTTTGGTAATGAATTTGGTAAATTTAAAAATGAAATATAGGTATTATATTATGTGATAAAATTTAGTATAAGTGAGCAAAAATTTGGTAATTTTATCATGATACCTTAGAGCATGATATAAAAACCTTTTTTCGATTAAATTTACTTTTCAGTTTTGTATTTTTTTACTAAATGTGTGTTGATGAGAGTTATAATTTTGAAATCTTGAATTTCCGGTAAACCGTTACCAAATGAGCGAAAATTTAATCTAATGAGTGGTTTAAGTACAGTATATTTCGATTTTATTAACCAGATTTGTGGTTTATAATTTTTTAAAATTTTTTATTTTTATTTCTCATTTTTTTTTACCTTGAATGTCCTTATTAGTTTGATAATTTTAACAGACATTTTTTTCTTCGAGTGTAAACAAATATGTTTATAACTTTTGCCTTATAGGTGTTTTTCTTACATGGACCACTTTTTACAGCTAAACATTGATTGGGTAATATAAAAATTTTGCAAGCGTTACGGTTTCCTTTACTCTTACGTTCATGCAATTCGAGCTTCAAAGCTCTTGAGCGAAAAGTTGATTACAAAACATTGCTACAGGGATAGAAAATAAAGTTAGCGATTCGGTTAATGTGAGATGAAAAATCTCAATTACATATACTGAGCCTTTTCTGCAACCTCTCAAGTTGTACATTGGAATCGAGTAAATATAAAATTGCTCCATCATATGGTTTAATTTGCCACCTTATTGAGGTTACAACTAATATGAACCTCAACATGGTCAAAAATTTCGAATTACAGAGAGAGAATTAGAAGTTTAATAAAACTTTCTCTTTTCCGTTAAGATTGACAATTGTTATGAAGGAAAGAATATTTAGATAATGCAATTTGGTAATTTTAATTCAGATAAATAAATAATAGGTTAATTAGCAAAGAAATAATATATATATGCATACTATATTCGCATGTTGTTAAAAAGTTTGGAGAGTTTCAAAAGATAATACCTTTCAAATTCACAACACTCTTAGTACAGGGCTTGATTGTGCAAAATTATTTCTTTGTCAAATTTAGTATTATCGAATATTATTGTAATCTAATATACACACGACGTTGTGTTCGACAATGATCACGATATTACCGATGCTGATACTCTGTAAAAAATCTTTCATCAATATTCAAAAATTTATCAATAATAAATTGATTTTGTAAATAAAAAAATTTCAATGACGAATAACTGTTTCTCTTAGATCTAAATAGCTGCAAATAAGTACAAATTTGAAAAATTATTGTTTGGTAGTAAGCCGTGTTTTGAAAAATTTGAATTTAGCGCAGAAAAAGACACCGGTGTTTCATACTGTATTTAATAACCATAAATTAGTAAAATGTAAAATATAATATTTTATCTTTATTTTGACTTTTATTAATACAAAATAATATGAAAAGTATGAAAAATAAGTTTAATGAAATTCTGCGTCAAAAGGCTAATCTATTACTGAAAATATAAATGATCAGAACTAAAAATAGGCAAACTAAGAAACAATTTGTAGCATTTTCGAAATAATTCGTCATGAACTATCAAAGACAAATCCGAAGAACTGATGAAATTAAAAGAATTAAAGCTGTTAATTTTTAAAACTCGGTGCTATGCTATAGAGTTTTAAAGCTAAAAGCAGTCTTCAAAAGTGAATTAAATTAGAATATTACTAAAAATTTTCTATTATTATTAAATGATTCTGAAATAATTTTTCTGCATAAATTTTGAATTAATATCGAAAAACTAATAGAATCAAAAGAATTTACAATGATAAAATTTGCAACAGAGTTTTTAAACTAAATAATTTGTAAAACTAAATTGAATAAGGATTGTACTAAATTTTTTCTCTAGCTAAAACTGTTTTATCGTGAAATAATAACTGATGGATACAATTTTAAAATAATATCCATTTTCTTTCCCTTTTTTTTTGTTTTTGTTTCTATTCATAATTTGTCATGAGTTATCTAAAAAAATATGAATCATGGTATGATACGGATGCATGCATTAGTAAAATAATACCGAAAAAACTAAGGGAATCAAAAGAATTAGCAATGATTAAATACGCGATAGAGTTTTTAAACTAAAAATAATTTGTGAAATCAAATGAAAAAAGGATTTCATTGAATATTTTCTCTTGCTAAAACTGTTTTATCATGAAAGGATAAATTATGGATATAATTATAACATAATATAAACTTTTTTTTTCTTTTTGTTTCTATTCTTAAAATAATAAGAAGACTTTTTTTTTTAAATAATACTTCAAACGAAATACAATAATCTTCAACTCCATATAAAATCATATCTACTAATTCCCTAATTTAGAAAAATATTTTGACAATACGTAAATAATTAATCAAATTCTGAGCGAAAGTTTGAAAACAAAACTTTTAAAACGCATGATTCCTCAATGACATAGAAAAACACGCGTATCATTGTTTCAAACTAAAACGTTTGGCGCAAACTGAAGTTATCTGCGCCAGCTATAGAAACAGTAGCGGGAATAAAGCAGAAAAGGGAAAAAAATAATCTTTCTAGGGAAAATAATTCTATGTCGTAGACATAATGCATGATTGAATAAGGGGGTCATACTACGAATCGCTGTTTTGGGATTCCCCTTTGAAACAGCATTTATGAGAATCGGCCTCACTCTTTGCTACCTGCACGCTTGCTGACGTCACTTTCACTCTTTTCCAATCCCACTCGCTTATGGGCGTGTCATCACTCTTTTCATCCAATGCAGCACACAGCTACTTTGAAGATCTGACCAATAGCTATAGATCTCTACAAGTCAGTCCTTCGTTCCGTTGAAAGATACACCTGCTCAAAAATGGCTTTGTAATTTTGTTCAGTATTTGTCCCTCATCTAAACTGATCGCGCGTCGCTTATTTTGCTGATTCTTTTTCCAAAAAAAAAAAAGTGTCCTTGAAATAAATTGCAAAGGAAAAAAAATATGAAAAGAAAATGACGTCGACCCGTATTTTTTCGAGAAATTAATAAATTCAGAGATTTGTAGTTGAGCGAAAAAACTAAGCAATTATGCTTTCAAAAGTTTTATAAAGTGAGAAGAAAATATATTTTGCAACCACCTGAGATGTCGAAAGATTTGTCGAGAGGCAAAATATCTCCGACACCTTCTACAGACAGTTCATTACAGACATCTTCTTCACCACAGTCCACCCCTTGTATAGCGAGGAACCCTTTTTCGATTGTTAGTATTCTAAGTCGAAGTGATCCAAAAAGAAGATCTCCTTTTTATGAGGAACCACAACTACAGACACAAAATCCTGTAACTAGGCTGTACTTAGACTCTCAGTTACCTGTTCTAAGACCTCCCGCATTTTTACCGGTAGGTCCTCTAAGCGGACATTTAAATAGAAAACCTACTCCATGGTTTCCCTGGGCCCATGCGAATTCTTCTGTACAAGATGCCACATTAGGTAAGTAAATCTTCATTCTACCATAAACAAACCTAATCAATAGAATAAGTCTTTTACCACCAATAATGCGAATAACTAGTTTAACATACCATAAATTACTATTTACATTGGAATGAACCATAATTTCATAAATCTTTGGTTGGTATAATTCACAAAATCTTTAGTAACTAGTTAAAATAATTCACGTCATATCATGAATAATTCAATTTAAAATTTTGGAATAACGCTTTAATTTAAGTTTACATTATAAAACGTTCAATTTAAATACGAAAAGCCAGCTTTGTATATTTACTCAAAAATTAAAAAAAATACATGAAATTTATTTATTTATTTTATTTTACATTTCAGTTTTTTCCCCATTATTTCTTTTCCTTATAGACTGTAAAAAATTCCGCATCAAATTACGGTAAAAAGCACCGGCACTCAGGGTGTTGATACTTATTACCGTAAAATCCATTTTTACCGAAAAATGTTACGGAGCAAAAAAATCTGTTACACCGTAATTTTTACAGTAATAATTGCCGTAAAATCACTGAATCACTCTAATTAAATAAATATTACTGTAAAAATAACGGTATGATATTTCACGGTAAAAATGGATTTTACGGATGGCGCTCTCAAAGTTTCGATACCTTACTCCGTAACGTGATCTGGAATTTCTTACACAGAATATTTTTCTGGAATGTAATGAAAAAATATGAAAGTTATAACATGAAAGTAATAATTTGAAAATATGTTGAAATATGAAAGTAAAAGTAAGAATAGTTGTTAATCCGTTTAGTAATTCCATTATTAAAGTATTTTTGTGTATTTATTTTGAGTTACCCACTGTACAAAAGTTCCTGATCAAATTACGGAATAACGTACCGGCATATTGGATGCATTATCCGTAAAATTTATTTTACCGTAAAATCTATTTTTATCATAAAATATTGTACGTTAATTTTTACAGTACTATTTATTTAGTTTGAGTGATTCAGTGATTTTATTGTAATTATTAATGTAAAAATTACGGTGTATCAGATTTTTTGTTTCGTAACATATTCCGGTTAAAATGGATTATACTATAAAAAATTGCAGTACCCTGAGTGCTGGTACTTTTTACCGTATCTCGCGTAACCAGAAACTATACCTAGCGTGGAAATGAAAGTACAAAAAAAAAAAAAAAAAAAAAAAAAAAAAAAAAAAAAAAAACAGAAAGGAAGAAAAGGTGACAAAACATGAGGTTGCAGTGGAACTTTATTAAGTTCAAAAGAAAAAAAAAACATCCCAAAATCAAAAGTTCAACAATTGTTTTAACATATTTCAACTTATATGTACTGTTAGTGAACAAATAAAATTTCGTGTTTTAATTTTTTAAAATTTTATTTAATAACTAGAATGAAAATAAAGATGTGTGATTGATTCAGGAAACTTTATTCTACTTGGGGAGTTGGGATAATGTAAGAATGTGGTTTTTTTAACTTCAAACAGCAGCAGTCTACTTTCCTAAATTATGACCTCTTCATAATATAACCTTTCTGAGGTTCCCCATAATGAAATTGAAACAGAATTTTTTGAAATCAAAAATTCAAAAATTTTTTTAAAAAACTTATTTTAGCTTGCACGAACTTATAAGTTACTGAGCAAATAAGGTCTCATGTTCGATTTTTGTTTTAAATTTTATTTAATTATTAGAATAAAAATAAGGATTTAAAAAAAAAGGATATGATACTAGGAAATAATCTGATTCAAAAAGCCTTATTCAACTTAAGAAACAAAAATACGTCTTTAAAAAAAAATATATATATATATTAAAAAAAAAAAGAANAAAAAAAAAAAAAAAAAAAAAAAAAAAAAAAAAAAAAATTAAACGGTGAGCAGCAACCATCTTCTAGTTATGACTTCATCATAAAAAAAAAAAAAAAATATTGAATATTCCGAAGTTTCCCATACTGATATCGGTACAAAATTTACTAAAATCAAAAATCCGAAGTTTTTTTAAACTTATTTCAACTTATGTGAACTGTTACTGAACAAATAATATAAGTTCTCATGATAATATAATAATATAAGATCTCTCGAATAAGATCTCATGCTCCATTTTTAAAAACTTTATTCATTCCTTATAATAAAAATGAAGATTTGATTATTTAAAAAACTTTATTCAACTTGGGGAACAGGGAAACGGTGTTTTTTTTTAAACTTCAACTGTAGCCTTTTTCTTCTCCCAAATTATGATCTCCTCATAATAAAACTGATGCAGAATATTCTGAAGTTCTGCATAATGAAATGGGTACAGAATTTTCCGAAATCATCCATTTTTCTAACTTATTTCAGCTTATATAAACTGCTACTGAACAAATAAGATTACTTTTTCTTTTTTAACATTTTCTACTTTAAATAAAAGAAATTGAAATACAATTGAAGCAAAAAAAAAAAAAAAAAAAGGAAATCATTGAACTTGGGGGATAGAGATTAAGTAAGAAATTGGTTTCCCAAGTGTCGGTTCTTTTTCTTCCCTTCCTCCATTCATGACCCCCGGCAATCGTAGCTTAAAATAGCTGAAAACGATTAAATAAATAAGGAAAAATAATCATATTTCATTTATTTTTTCGTATTTTAGTACTTAAAATAAAGATCCAATTTAAAATGATAAAATTTTCCTTTGAAGATATATGTTTGGTTTCTTTTTCTTTTCAATGTTATTTATTTGTTTAATTCTTTATTAGATTTATTTCAATAATTTATTTATTGATGTATGTATTTAGTTCTTTAATTTTTCAAAAGAATTCATTTAATCGTTCTTACATCATTTAATCGTTTTTAGAATCAAAACCTATGTTTTTATGACTCCCGGCACTCGTCGCTGAAAATAACAGCAAACGATTAAATAAATAAGGAAAAATAAACATATTTCATTAATTTTTTTTGTATTTCAGTACTTAAAGTAAAGAAGCTATTCAAAATGATAGAATTTTCCTTCGAAGATATATGTTTGGTTTCTTTTTCTTTTATATGCCATTTGTTTGTTTAATTCTTTATTAGATTAATTCCAATAATTTATTTATTGATGTAAGTATTTAATCCTTTAATTTTTTTAAAAAGTATTTGATCATTCCTTTAATCGCTCATGCATCATTTAATCGTTTTTAAAATCAAAACCGATGTTTTTAAATATTAAAAAGAAAATGATAATCACAATTTTTGATTTATAAAATTTTAGTAAAGAAAGGTCAAAATTAATAATGATTTAAGAACATATTCAACTTTTAAACTACATAGTTGAATGCTGTAAGGAAATATTTTCCAGAAAGTTTTGTCTTTAAAACGATGGCAAACGAATTCTGGAGCGATATTTTAGTTGAACTTGAACAGAAGCATTGCTTAATTTTACACATTATTAAGATTGCAGCAAATAAGCTCAATATTATGATCAAAATTTGCATCGCTTTTCTCTGAGAGTTAATAATTTACACAAGCAATACATTGTAAAAAATTCCGCATCATTTTACGCTAAAAAGTACCGTCACTCAGGATGCAAGTACTTTTTACCGTAAAATCCCATTTTTACCGGAACAAGTTACGGAACAAAAATTCTGATATACTGTAATTTTTACTGTAATAATTACCTTAAAATCACTGAATCACTTTAAATAAATAAATATTACTGCAAAAATTATGGTATAATACTTTCTGGTAAAAATGGATTTTATGTTAAAATGGATTTTACGGACGATAAAGTGCTAATACTCTAAGTGCTGATACTTTATACCGTAATTTCATCCGTAGATTTTTTAGTGTATATACTAATTTAAAACATCCCAAAATAGAGCAAATTTTTTAACCGTGTTATTTTTAATGGTATATACATCAGGTTTGTGACATTTTGGATGATTATTAAACAATACTGATAGTTCATATTGAACTAGTAAAAATTTATATGACTTTAAAAAAAAAAAAAAAAAAAAAGGAAAGGAGCAAAAAAACAATGTAAGCGGCACTTACAAAAAATATTTTTTTTGCCATTAGTAATATAAATTTCGTATTATGTAATAAAAATTTATAAGTGATCTAATAAAATTTAAAAATAACATTGAGACATGATTTCTGAAATTTCGCGTAGAAAGTTTCGAATAATTCCAAGTACTATCGCGCTTGCTTCTATAAAACTTATTTTATATTCTAGTCAGTAAAAACTATCTTTTAATGCGGATTTTAAAATTAATTCTTATTGAACTTGAATATTAATATTCTTTTTATAATATTAATATTCTTTTTATAATATTAATATTTCTTTATTGATAAAATTAAGTTATGTACAATTTCTTGATAAAGTTGAGTAATTAGCATAAAAAACATGAAATAAATGATTCCATACAAAATGAAAAAAAAAAAAAACTTAAAAAAAAGAACTAAAAAAAAAGTTTTGCTGAGCAAAAATTTATTTATTAAGATTTATAAGCTAAATTTTCAGAATTAAAAATTGAAATCCATAAGCGATCTGCGCAATAATATTTGCTGACAACACCATAAATATAATTTCGGAGATCAAAAAACGCATAGAGAGGGAATTTAATAATTCTAAATTGAAAATAAAAATTCTAAAAGTACGATTATACGGCTTTAAAATTACACAGTTATTTTATATTATAATCAATTAAAATTTAAGGTCAATTTAGATAAAATTCTAAAATGTTAAAATTAAGATTGCTTTAGTTTGATAAAGCTGAGTAATTATTAAAAGAAATAGAGGAAAAGTAATGCCATAGAAAGTCAAATATGCTTTAGTTTTATTGTTGAACAACTAGTACAATATTTAAATTAAACCCTATCGGAATTCATTTCTTAAGGTGTCGGTTTCAAAATACAAAGAAAATTAAAAAAGAAAGGACTTAAGTTAGTTACTGTCGGAGCTTAAGGCTATAAAGATAAAAGAAAAATCCTAACAGAAACTTCGTCATTGTGGGATTTTTTTTAAAAAGATTAAGTAATTGTGTTTTACAAGCTAAGTAAAGTTT